TGCCTACAAGGGAATGGTTTGAACTTCCCATGGAACTTTGAATGGAGACCTAGGTACATCGATAGAGCCTCGAATGCTGATTACGAATATGCAGATTAAAAGTGCTACGGGGACCTCCCAGACGAGATCTGGGTGGTCAAAGTTTGCGAAAACTCAGTTTTGGCTCGTAAGCGCTGCTGATCGATGCCTAGGCAGTGCCACCGTGGCCTAGTGGTAACGGTCTCGCTTCAAAGGCAAATGCTTGTGGGTTTGCATCCGTTGGCGCGAAAGTTTTTGCTTCGTCTCCTATAAGAGCTTTTACTCTAATTTTCGAAATTCTTCCGAGTTTACGACCCAGCAGAGCAAGTAGATCAAGTAGATCAAGTATATGACGTACTCGATCGAGTATGGATTTGGTCACTATCTGCCCTCTCTGAACTCATTACCCATCCGACAATTCGAAGTTTTAGCCAGAAACTCGTTCCTGGAGCTATTTTGACCCCTGAACATGAATATCACATTCGACGGGAAAACGCTTGCTTTCACGTTGTTGTGATCATCAACTGAACGAGGGTCGTTTTCGCGTCAAACGGATGTGATATTCGGGCTCAGGGGGTCAAAATACCCCCAGGAACGAGTTTCTGGCCAAATTGTGATTCTGGCCAAAACTTCGAATTGTCGAATGGTTAATGAGTTCAGAGAGGGCAGATAGTGACCAAATCCATACGATCGATACGTCATATACTTGATCTACTTGATCTACTTGCTCTGCTGGGTCGTAAACTCGGAAGAATTTCGAAAATTAGAGTAAAAGCTCTTATAGGAGACGAAGCAAAAACTTTCGCCAACGGGATGCAAACCCACAAGCATTTGCCTTTGAAGCGAGACCGTTACCACTAGGCCACGGTGGCACTGCCTAGCCATCGATCAGCAGCGCTTACGAGCCAAAACTGAGTTTTCGCAAACTTTGACCGCCCAGAACTCGTCTGGGAGGTCCCCGTAGCACTTTTAATCTGCATATTCGTAATCAGCATTCGAGCTCTATCGATGTACCTAGGTCTCCATTCAAAGTTCCATGGGAAGTTCAAACCATTCCCTTGTCAGACCTCAAAATGCCTCCAGGACACTATTGCGGAAAATGGTGAAAAAAAAAACGAAGCAAAACGGTCAAAAACCTGCGAAGAAAAGCCTTCATTTTTAATGACTCGAAAAGCAATTTCGGACGAGTTGCCCATAGGCACCTCAGTGACCGTTACCGGTGCGTACGTGCATTTTATGTAGCAATTTATTATCGTTCTATCCATGCAGCACCGCAGCCGCCCTTCATACCCAATCCCTTTTCGCACTTCATTATTGTACTTATTGTTAGCAAATGAAGCAGTACGGGATCGGCTACGGTCGTTATTTGTAGACTGCGCGGGCCGGTTTTGGGGTTTGGGTTAGTGTAGCTTGACAGCCCTTATAAAAGTAGCTTCCTGCAAAGCGCGCAGCGCCTGCTTCAGGTGTGCGACAAATTTCATCCTGCTAGGCGTGCGAGTCATACTCATCTCAGGGATTCATGGTGCCAAAGAACTATAAGCGCACCATTTGGTGCCTCTACGCCCCAAAAATCAACATCGGAAAAACAACGTCATAACAGGATAAGCTCAGCCGATACATACATCATCAGCACTGTAAACAAGATGTTCATAACGGATTTCTCACTAAGACTCGATCATACGCAGAACATCTCAAAAGAATTCCAAAACAACAAAACAGTCAGTACTTTCTGCTTGAAGCTAAGATAAGCCTCCGTCTTCACCAAGATTAACCGCGAAGTTAATCAAAAATATCAAGTCGGAATCCGACTATAATCTTGTAAAAGAAAAGAAAAAAAAACAATAATACCTATATACGTTCTGACTTCATTATCATCGTGCCAAAGCTTGATAGTTTTATCTGCACTTCCTGTCAAGTAATAACCTGGGGACGACTCAATTGCAGCAAGAGCCCAAACTGACAGTTTATGGCCATTAAGAAGCAGAGCCTGGAATAGTGACGTGACTTTCCGGACAGATAATAAAAAAACTATCAAAAAATGAAAAAAAAGAAGAAAAACGAAAGACTGCCGAGAACTAGAGAGACACCTTCGCTCACCTCTGATCTCTCAAAGAGGAATTCATTGACTGAGACCGTTCCAATCAGGGCACGTCGTGCATTGAAGTTTCAGCACTATTCAACTATTATTACCCCGGTCCTGATCGACTTTTTTCTACGGAGCAGATTTGGTTGAAAAATATTTGGAGTTTTAGGGATAATTTGACCTCTGTGAACACGATATCACATCCTTGAAAAGTTGCCTGGCCCCGCGCCACAGACGCCAATGATCAGCGCATTGCGTCGGCGCCTGTGGCGCGGGCACCGAGAGGTTTCAGGCCGAGCGGATGTGATGTTCGTGCTCAAGAGGTCGAACTACCCTGGGCACAAGTTCAGCAGATTTGGATTGACGCTAGGGTACTTTGGCGCCGGCGCCTGTGGCGCGGGCGCCAGGCGGTTTCGGGAGGAGCGGATGTGATATTCGTGTTCAGGAGGTCGAATTACCCCTAGAACCCAACTTTCAGCCAAATCTGCCCCCGTAGAAAAAAGTCGATCAAGATCCGGCCCGTTTTCGGAAAATGGGGTAGTAATAGTTGAACAGTGCCGAAGTTGCTTGGCGAGGGGGTTCGTATCTGGTCACGGAAGCGAGGGGAGTCATAATTGCCTTTTAGAAAAATGTTTCGGTGGTTGACTTTCCTCAATTTTTTTTATTTTCAAGTGCCTCATCATTTCCACTTAAATTTTCGGGGAGAAAGCGGAGGAATTTTCAGAGAAAAAAGCTTCAGGAAACGATAGGAAGCTGGGAAAATTCAGAAAGGTGGAAGGTAAGATGGGTGATGGAGGAAGGAGTCGTACCAGAGGATTTGCGGGAGGAGGTTGCATTTTGCGAAGTTTTCCCAGAGGCAGGACATACCGTTCCCAACACTCCAACAGTGTCCAGTCCCCTTTTCCCTCCCATACGAGACCGACGTATAGGACCCGCATAATAATAGCAAAGACGATCACAACGCGCCATTGAGGGTTACACCTAACGGCGAAAACTCCACTTTCTCCCCAAACTTCAGTACACCTAAGATTTACACAGAGCACTCTCAGAACTACAATGCGAACCTCATTCTAGGCAACTCAAAATTAGTCCCTCAATGAGGATTTGCCAGCCCCTGCCTAGATCTCCTTTGTGCCGAATATTGCTTTTCCTCTGACAATAAGAGGGAGCAGAAAAATGTAAGTCTCAAAGCTACGTAGAAAAAAAAGCAAGAGACTCACAGGAAATTCAGGCGTCCCAAGTTCCTTGATTGGCCATACTATGACGTTGTTGTCCCAGGAGCCACTCAGAAGAATATGATTCTTTTCATCGACGTAAAGGCAGCACACTTAATAATAGTCAATATTAGCACATATTTTGGACATGAAATTCAAATTTGTTTCTTTAAAATCAAATTTAATCAAACTGCAACTGAAAGCGTACCATTTGAAGAGTGCTGTGTTAGTACAGTCAACGGTTCACTAGATCCTGAACCATAAACAGCTATAGACCCATCTTTCCGGCCAGCAAATAGTCGCCATCCATCTGGGGATTCATAATAAGCTATTGAATTCACAGCTAATCCTTTCGGTTGAGGGAATGAGAGGGTTTCCGAGAATTCTCCACCTCTGCAATTAATCGAGTCATTAACTGGCATTCGAATCTGCGACGCTGCAGAATTAGAAGTTAATCGACATGTATATGATGCCGCGTTTATACTTTTCGACACAGGAGACGGGAAAAGTAATGTTATCGATCTGGCGACCGCGCAGATTCGGCGATCCCCCGATTTTGAGGATTGAGCGATCGGGCGATTTGAGAGACTCGGCGATCCGCTGTTTGAAAGATCGCCGAATCGCTGAATCTCAGCAGCCGCTGTCCAAATCGCCTTGCTGTTCTACATTCTCCGCAGTCGTTTGATCGATACCTATATTTTCCTCGTCGTGCAGCCTCTCAAATCGTCAAACCTCAAAAGTCTCGAAGTATGAACGCATCTGATTCTTTTGGCTGATCTCCTAGGTTTTAAGCGTTTCCGAGTATGAATGCAGTCTAACATCGTAGCACATGGGTACTAACGTAGTTTGGTGGGGGGGGGGCCACACTGTGCGACTACGCCTGATTTGCGAGGCTAGACCTCGCGGATTCTGGTCGCCTGCGCTCTGCTAAGGATGAGCCTTGGGGAAGGAAGGGACTCAGACGCGCCGCTACATGGCCCCTCCGAACGCACTCATAGGTGTGAGTAAACATTTTTCTTCATGAAGTAGCTGGCGACTCTCAAAACGAGCTTTCGAACTTGCCTTTTAGTCCAAAATCTAACAGTTTCATCTCGTCCACCAGAAACAACTACGCCCGCCGACGTTGATGTGACGCATTTTACATCGCCTTTATGAGCATCGATGATTCGGCTGAGCAGAAAATCGTCGCTCTCTGTTGGGTCCTCCATTTCGATGTCATTCATCCCTGAAACTCACTGAAATAAAATCCTGAGTATAAACGAAGGCGAGCAGCTTATCAAACGTCTCAGGACACGCCAATAGGAAGGTTTATCTCTTTGGGGAAAATATGGAAAGACCCCACTCCGGCCTCTGAAAATGTAGCATTTTTGAGTACTCATAAATTCGGAAAAGATGGCGGAACGGAATGAATGGAAAAGCCTGTATTATTGGACAAAGTGTAATAATGATAAATTTAACTCCTTTCGATGGAAAATCGACGGTAACCAAAAGCTTGTGGTCAAATGGGAGCCTTATAAGAGAAGCTGAACAGAACTGGAGCACCAGGCAAGCAGTGCTGACAAATATGCAAGTACCTGAAAGATTTCGAATGGCGTAACATTCTGCAATTGCGGTCGATAACTTAAATGCGCGTGAAGCATGAAAAGCACCTTTATTCAAAGCCCTTCTCCACCTTTTTTCCTCCTTCTTCCTTCATAACAAAGTTTTTTCCG